AAATTGGGTCTTCTCTCAGCCCTCACTGGTGCTGCCTTAATTCAACATTTTATCTTGTCTCGCTTGGATCCCTACAATCAATTTGACATAGTTCTCCCTGCTCCAGATCTGGCTTCCCTCCAATTCACCTTTAATACTGCTCTCAGTGGGAACTTTCTAAAATGCAAATGTGATGATATCACTCCCCTGCTTTATTTTATGCCACCTGATAACTTTCATGCTAAAGTTCACCTTCCTTAGCTTTGCACACAAGCTACAAGACAGGCTCCCCACCTCAGTGACCTCATCTCTTGCCACTGTACTACACTGATAGTGGCTTCTGCCATTCCCAGCTAGTGGATGTTCCCTGAATATAACATGAAGTTTCACGTCTTGCTGTCATCCTACAAGCCATTTCCTTTTCCTAAAATACGCTTCTTCCTTTTCACAGGCCCCGTCCTCTGGGAAACCTTCCCAGACCTCCTCCCCACCTTGCCCTTCATAACAGCTCTGCCTTGTTGTTCCCACAGCATCCTGGGAATACTTCTTTCATGGACCATATCGCATTGGAGTTGACTTCCCTCTCCAGACTCTGAGCTCTGTGGGAACAGACTCTGCCATACATGTTTTTGTATCCCCAGAACCTAAATAAATAGTTATTTATTAAATAAATTAAAACATTTTGCTACCTAGACAGATATGTGTATCTGTATAGGTAGTATGGTTGGAGGCATAAGGGGAAAAGGAGTTAGCATTTGTTGAACACTTAAATGTGCCAAGAACTATGTTCTGCTAGATACATTATATGCATTTGTATTATTATTCCCATTTTATCAGAAAGCTGAGGCTCACAGAGGTTAAGTAACCAGGGCATGATTTCATAGCTAGTAGGTGGTGCAATCTGAGCCTAGGCTTGTCTGACTCTAAACCCTGGGATTTTTTTCATTCCACACTGCCTCCCAAACGACCAGAAAGGAACAGTAAGGTGGGGGAAACCAGGTGCTCTGTTACAGGACTTTCCTTGAGAATTCTTGACTTTAGTTACAATAAAACCCTCATTTGTCAACCTCAGGTCACGACACAAGGCTTTTGAGCTTCTTCAATTCTGAAGACTACAAAGACCACTCCATTTTTAATGTTTTTTTCCAGAGTTTATCCTTTTAAAACCTTAGACCTGTTTTACAAGGATCCTATAAGTATTAACAGTATATGTGTGCTACAAAGTATCCCATCTGCCTCAGAGACGTGCTTTTTAGTCACAGAATATATATTTTTTACAGTTATTATCCATTTATTCTACTGCAAAAGCTGCCAATTCAGAGCCTATGAGTTCCAGTGGGAAAACATGTATGGAATGAGCTCAAGGGTGTGAGACTTCCTATGATTGCTGGAATGGAAGACAGGCTGATAGAAAAAAAAAATCTGCCTGAACACTTGGGGAGGCTGAAGAATGGACATCGGAAAAGGACAATGAAGCCTCAGGGATCAAAGCAGATAACTTTGACTTCCGCTCTAGAAGCATTGCTGGGGCTGAGATGAAGCTGTCCCTACAGCGCAGAAGTTGCCATAAGTTCTCGACGGCAGTCTTTCTTTCCTACGGAGTCTCACCAAAGCTAGCCAGTGTCTTAAGAATGTTACCTTTATCAGTCATTTCCATTTATCCTTCCTGGTGTGGGGTACCAACACCACATCACACTGGACTTGACTTTCCCCTCCAGACTCTGAGCTCTATGGAGCAGACTCTTGTCATACACATTTTTGTACCCTCAGAACCTCCGATGGCCATTTCCCACATTAAGTTTGAGCTTATAGTTCATTTCTCACCTTCTCCTTAAACCCCACCAGAAAGAAGTGGCCAAGAGAATGATCTGGCTATGACATCTGCCAACTCATTGATCACCAGGGAAGATTGAGCTGGTCTGGCTGGAACAATTTTTGCTTTCATTAACAAATGCTTAATCAATGCCTAATATGTGCCTGGCACTGGGCTAAGCTGGAAGGATGCCCTCTCCTCCTTCACAGCCTCCTGTACCACGTCTTCCTGAAGTTGTGCACTCAGCTGAATAGTATGACCTTTCCATATAGAGAAGGATCACCCTTTGGCCAATAATCTACAAGTAGCTGCCTTCCTGGTGGAAGCCTATTAACAAGTCCTATCTGGAAACACTTCCTTCCTTGATGCCTTTCAAGGTGCAGTTAGAAGGGGTACACCAAATGACCATCACCATCAAAAGTCCTGGCAGTTTGTTGAGCACATAGAGAGACAAGAAGCTTGACACTTATTCATTGAAAAGGTTTTTGGACTCAGGGAGGATTTAGATGTAGCTGATTTTGGTTCAATCAAATGAAAATGTAAAGTAACTCTAGCAGTCTCTTTATCCCTCATTCAAACTGGTAGTCTCTTTATCCTTCATTCAAACTCCCACCTCAGATCAGCATTATGAGAATAGAGGGTCAGCCAAGAGATAAGGATGTCTGATTCACACATTATTTGGTTATTTGAAAGGATACAATGTTGATAGCTTTTTTCTTTGGAAGGAGAAGGAGAGAGCAAACCAGATGACCCTGACATTGAAATAGCTATGCCAAAGCCTCATGTAATGTTCAAATGATTTACTATTGAGACCAATGGCAAAGTCATCTTCCTTAGAGAGTCTTGAAATTGTCTTCAGCCTGCAGAAGGAGTAGAACATAGCTAAGAGGGAGAGCATAAGAGGAGAGCCAACGAGTCTCCTGACCAGTGAGCCAGGTGGCAGGTTAGCCCCTACTTACCTGAAGGCAGCACCATGAGCGCCATGTGCCATGACTCATCTGACGCTTGATTGACCCACTTGCTTGGGTTTCCATGTAGCTGCCATTCTGCCACCTTGCACCAGTACTTTCCAGCATCTTCCATCTCCACCCGATGGAGTTTTAGGACAAAGTCTGTAGGGGATGACCGGTAACAGTACAAGTGCTTACTGAGCCCCTCCTCACCATACTCGAGCAAGCCATCATGCCGCAGGTGCACCAACATTTTACTCCCAGAGCTTTCTCTGTTCCAGTACCACATGACTGAGAACAGAGAGGTCAAGCTGCCTGAATGCTCCAGGCTGCAGCGGATGGCCACCTCCCCATGCTCAGTGGCATTTCCTGTCCCGTCCACTTTGGAGACACGCACCTTACTTCCTAGGAAATAAGATGGCAGTAAGTTAGAGAAGAACCAGAGTTTCAGATTGGATACCTTCTCTAGAAAATCTACCAGTTCTCATTGGAGAGATCCCATCTTACATTCTTCAGACATCAAGTCCTTCATCTTTAAAACTTTTCCTTGATCCCTTGTCTTCCTTTCATATTTGCCCCCCAGATTCTCCTCTAGGAAACAACCTAGCCTCTTGTCTTATCTAATCTTACCTCTTACCTGTGGAACCCTCCCATTGAAAAACCCAAGCCAAACCCATTGCCGTCAAGTCGATTCCGACTCATAAGCGACCCGATAGGACAGAGTAGAACTGCTCTATAGGGTTTCCAAGCAGCAGCTGGTAGATTTGAACTGCCAACCTTTTGATCAGTAGCTGAGCTCTTAACCACTGCACCACCAGAGCTCCAGCCCAGATTTAAATGGGTCCTCTGCCTTGCTATTTTTACTTCTCCCTGGCTAACACCCACTCCTACTTTCCAAGGGACTACTCAAAACTTTCAGCACTCCCCTGAAGTTGCTTATTCGACCCCCGTCCCTCAATCTTAGCAAATCAGCATCCTCCCATACATCCAGATATCATCTAGGTATAGACATAAGGAAACAGGAGGCCATCTGGGAGACCAAACATTTTTATACAAGTGTTTGAATACCACTTAAGGAAACTGTTTAGTTATTGGATCAAATTTCTAAACAGATTCTGACATTTATTTTGTTGTTGTTGTTTTTTCCCTGCTAACCAGCAGGTGAGGACTTGGAAGGAAGGCCAGAGTAGTTATAAACAAAGAAATTACAGTGCGTGTTAATTTTTTTTCAGCTCCATTACAAACACATTTATTAAGCTATGTTTAAAAGAACAACTTTCTCTAATCTTGGATTCTTTTTTTAGTTACCATCTTTACTCTCTCCTTCCCTTCCTAGTGAAGCATGTGAAATATTAGTTTATATGATGCTGCCCTGGTTTCCTCACCTCAAATTACTCCCTACTTTATGGCAATCCAGCTTCCAACCCCATTACTATACTCTGGCAAATTTCCCCAGCAATTTCTCACCCCAAGGGACACTTCAGTCTTATTTGTCCTCTCTGTGGTTTTAATCACTGACATCCATTTTCTTCTTGAAATTCTCTCCTCTTTTGACCTCAGAGAAAATTTCCTTACTATAATCTGAGCAGTTCTTCTCACTACCTCCTCCTGGGACCTCTTCCTCAACTCACTCCAAACCCAGCCCACTCCTAACTTTTTAAAAAAAATTTTGGTAAAAATATACATAACAAAATGATCGCCATTTCAACATTTTACATGTACAACCCAGTGACATTAATTACTTTCATCATGTTGTGCAACCACAGATATCTTTGGCTTGACCAACCTGGTATTTCAAAAGAATTTGAATTTGTTGTGAATGTTCTCAAATAAGAAGATAACACCAAAAAAGATTGTAGGTATCTCTTGATATACTAAAAGATCTGACAGCACCAAGCCCGCATTTCTACACAGGAAGCACTGGCTTGAGCTAAGAAGTGGCTGTCCCCTTAACAGGGTCATGTACACTGCGAAGATATTGGCTTGGACAACTGGGGGACCACATTAAATGCCAGTCACACAGATGGAGAATACGGAAATATGATGAGTCATGTGGGATGGCAGAGATGATACATGCAATTTGGGACACCCTGAGTTTGAGGGTCGCAGGGGCATCCCAGTGGAAACGGACAGCAGACAGTTGGGTATAAAGGCCTGTGCTCAGGAGATTGGGGCTAACCATAAAGACTTAGAGTTATCACCCTGAAGGAGGTGGTTGAAACCAGGGGAGTGTTTAAGAAGTTCTGGGGAAAGCCAAGAACAAGAAGAAAAACAGGCCCAGGATCTATCCACATGCAACACCCACAGTTAGCAGGGAGAGGAAGAGGGGGCCTGAAGAACACAGAGAAGGGGGTCAGGGGGGCAGAAAGAGAACCTCATCCTGAACTACTTGTTTTGCACCTGCTGCTCCCTACAGACTGTGAGCTCTTCAAGGGCAAGAACTATGCCTTATATACCTTTGTATTCCCAGTGCCTAATACATAAACCCAAAAAACAAACCTGTTGCCCTCGAGTCGATTCCAACTCATAGCGACCCTATAGATAGTAATGTTCAATTATAATCTTGTTTTTTGATATTAAATTGAAAATAGAATTTTAAGTACCAAACCAGACCAACTTATTTGCATTGTGCTTTTGGATCTTGGCCAGTTCCTGTACCTTCACTGTGACATTCATTTAATTTTAATCAACATTGGAGGTGACCCAACTAACGCTGAGGGGCCTAATCAACCCTGCCCACATTTAGACAGCAGCACTCTTATGCCAATGCAAATGGATGGAACTTCTATTACATTTTTAAAGGTCTCCTGAGGAAGAAGAGATTCCCTCAGTAAGCCATTCCAACAGTTAACTACTCTTATTTGCCTTATGTTTAGGCAGCCAAATGTTGAAAAGCAATTTCTCCACACATCCCTACAGAGTCGTACAGTTTCTGTTCACAATGGGAGAAATATCCTTTGTTATTACTCTTTTTCTGCCAAATTACAGTAGAGCCCCACTGGAATGACACAGCTTGTTATTATAGAGATCTGAAGATACAATGCCCTGGGTAGCTGCAGAGTCTATGCTGCCATGGCTGATAAGCAAACAAAAGGGACCTTGTTCCCATCCTAGCTCCCCCAAACCTCTGATTGATTCACCTTAAGTGACCTCCCCTCATCTGGTGGGCTACCAGATCCTGCAGTCATTGCTCAGGTGGACACTACTCCTATGACTGTAGGTCATTTTTTTAAAATCACATAATCACTCCATAGAACAGCTGCTCAAGAGAGGATGGCAATCCTACAAGAGATGTGGGAGAATTCACAAGATTTACCTGTGGGCTTGAGTTTCAATTCTGTTGGTCCTGACTTCTCTCCTCCAAGCTTGTACCAAGTGCCATTTGTCAACAAGAGCCATTCCTCCACAGTGCAGTGATATTTGCCCTGATCTCCATCATCCACGTTCTGAATGTGCAGCTGAAACAAGTCCTGGGAAGCTTTCTCGGTGTAAAATTTTTGTTTTCTCCTTGGGGTGTGAAATTCATCCCCATATTTTACAACATTGGTTTGGTCCATTTCCAGGATCTTCAGCAAGGATGCATTAGCAGAAATGGGGGAAAAGTACCAAATAATGGCTAACTGAACATTTCCTGTGGACAGGGACAAGATGCTACATTCTATCTCAGCGTTGGAGTTGATGGAGAGCTCTTGGACTTGACTGCTTAGATTCACTTTTAGTTTGCTCTCTAAATGAAAAGAATGGAAACAGTTATGTTTGCTACTTGCTAGAAAATAGAATTTTAGGGTAGAAGGGACATTAGAGGTCAACTAGAGCAACACCTCTTACATCTATCATATATACGAATTCCCTCTACAGTGGCCCCACTAACTTCTCATTCAGCCTTTGAGCAACTCACTGTCTGACCAAGCAGCCCATCCCATCTTTGGACAGTTCCGCCACTAGAGAATTCTTTCTCATATTGAGTTGAATTTGATCTCTCCATAACTTCTATCCATTGGTCCTAGTTCTACTCTGTGTGTGTGTGAGGAGGGGCATACAGAAAAGCCCAGTCCCTTTTCTAAATAATAATCCCTCAGTATTTAAGCACCGACATTCTGTAGCATCTCATGTTTCAAACTGAGAGAAAGCAGCCCTATCAATGCTTTGTCTGTGCATTCACTATCTAGAGTATTTCTGGATTCACAGTTTGCCAAAGTCTAGTCATATCTGCCTTAAATGTGGGCAAACAAAAGGAAGTTGTATGTGGGCCATTAATATTGTATGTCTCCTTGTAACTACTCAATGGTGGGAACATCATATGGATATGGAGTAACTATCCTTTAACTCCAGCAGCTTTTCTGCTTTGTCAGAAAGATGAGTGATAAAAGTTACCTCTAAATCTTATTCTAACTTCTTGCTTACACCACTGATTCTATTTTCATAACTGCATATTGATGTTGTCAGTAGGTCCCTTTACTCTTCAACAGACATTGACTAAGCACCTCCTATGCTATGTAGCAGACTGTTCCAGGCTCTGTGGATACCTCTCCTCTACAGGCTCACAGAAGAGAGGGAGAGACAAGTACAGGGACAGATGTTAGAGATGACAGCACAGTGTCACGCGTGCAGGATAGAGGTATGCAGAAGTGACTAACAGAGCACACAGGAAGATGATCTAACCCAAATATGGGAGTGAGGGGAGACTTCTGGGAAGAGGTTACTCTGAGCCAAATCTTAAGGGTTAATAGGAATTAGACTGATAAAGAAGGGATTAAGAAATTACAGGATATAAAAAAAAAAAAAAACTGAACGAAGACTTTGCAAGTGAGAGAGAACATGGAGTTTGAGGAACTGCAAGTAGTTCAGTGTGACTGGAGCTTAAATTCAAGATGGAAAGTAGAAGAGATGATACTGCAGAAAGACATAAAGGTACTAGATTTTAAAGGAACTTGCATACCATGCTATGGGAATTTGGACATGAGGTGGACGTGGAGGCTGAGAGAAAAGGAGGAGTTGCGGATGACTCGGGTTTCCAACTTGGGTCACTGGTGGATGGTGGGAACATAAGGAATAACGGAGGAGGAGTAGATTTGCAAGGATAATAATGATGGGTTCGTGTTTTGCATGTTGAGGGTAGACATATCTCAGAAACAGTTGGATATAAATGAGTCTGGACATCAGAAGAGAAGTGTTTGTGGGATAAATGGATTTAGGAATTGTTGGCATACAAATTGTATAACACAGAATGAGAAGAGAGCAAACTGAGGATGAAACCCAAAGGAACAGTTTTCTTCAAAGAATGAATCAGTGGAGAAGGAGAATTCTGTAAAAGAGAAGTAGAAAGAGTAATCAGAGTAGTAGCAAGAAAATCTTGTGTCATGGGGACCAAGGAAAAAAGAAGTTTCAAGAAGAAAGGATTGGGTCGATAATTTCATAATGCCACAGAAAGGATAAGTAAGTTAAGGCATTAATCAGCAAGGAGATCATTACTGTTCCCAAAAATATTGCTCAGCAGCAGAGAGAATAATAATGGTGCCATGTTTGTGCATCTGGTCAGTGTGTCAGGCACTGTACTAGGCACGATATACATGTCACCAGCTTTAAATTGCACATTAGCAATTAAATGTGAGGTAGCTTGAAGAAATTAAGTAACTTGTCCAAAGCCATGCTACTATCAAGTAGTTAGTAGATCTAAATAACTTCAAAATCCCTTGAAAACTCTACCTGTTCTAGGAGAAAACAAGTTATAAGAGGAAAAAAAAAAAAGGACACATTAGAAGTCTGGTCAGGTTGTGTCTTAGTTAATCTATTACCAGTTGACGAGGTAGACTACATTTGACTATAATCGTGAATTCTCTGACTCTTATACATTAACACATTAAAAATAAGTAGATAATGTATTCTAATGGCATTTACATTATCCATACCACTAAGGGAGCCATTCCAAATGTTTAATAACTGGTAAGGCATGGGCCACAACCAATCAGAAAGGATGCCTTACCACTGTAACTGGGTCCCAGAGGCCACCTGCTGTGCCACATGTTACCCTTTGGTTGCTGGGTTGTGGGGACTTATGGGAAGATAGGAAAGGGATACAGAGCAACAGTTACTACTAACCAGTGTGGAAGTATTTGAATATTTTAACAACCAGTAAGGTCATGGTGCAGTTGAGTGCTTGGCTGCTAACCAAAATGTTGGCAGTTTGAACCCATCCAATGGTTCTGCTGGAGAAAGTCCTGGCAATCTGCTTCCATAAAGATTATAATGAAGAAAACCCTATAGGGTCACTATGAGTCAAAACTGACATGGCAGCGCTTAACAACATGGCTGTTCCATGCGTTTTAATTTAATGTTAGCCAGGATGTTGTTGTTGTTAGGTGCCATTGAGTCGGTTCTGACTCCTAGTGACCCTATGTACAACAGAACAAAACACTGCCTGGTCCTGCGCCATTCTCACAATCATTGCTATGTTTGAACCCATTGTTGCAGTCCCTGTGTCAATCCATCTTGTTGAGTGCCTTCCTGTTTTTTGCTGACCCTCTACTTTACCAAGCATGACGTCCTTCTCCAGGGATTGGTCCCTCCTGATAACATGTCCAAAGTACGTGAGACAAAGTCAAAGTCTCACCATCTTTGCTTGTAAGGAGCATTCTGCGTATACCGCTCCCAAGACAGATTTGGTGTTTGTGAGCCAGGATACCACTCACCATATGGTGCTTACTTATATAGTACAAACATGGGGAGAAGTTATTTTATGTCTTATTTCTGTAACTTACCCCAAAGGAGAGGATGTTAACCAAAAAGACTCAGTTGCCATCGAATTGATTTTGACTCATGGTAACCCCATGTGTGTCAGAGAAGAACTGTGCTCCATAGGGTTTTCAATGGTTTTTGGGGAAGTAGATTGCCAGGCCTTTCTTACAAGGTACCTTTGGGTAGACTTGAACCTCCAACCTTTTGCCTAATAGCCGAATGCTTTAACTGTCTGCACCATGCAGAGATTCCAACAACCACAACAAATAGTAGGGTTTGATTTCAAGTGGTGCTTACTTGGTAAAGTGATGGCTATCCTCAACGGGTGAGAGATGGCAGTAGCCTTTGGAGGGCTATTTGTGTGTAGGGAATTTCTGTCATAAACTTCCACTTTACACTGGTACGTTCCTGCCTCTTCCTGTGCGGCATCATGGATGAAGAGTTGAGAACGAAATGGAGACTGTGAAACCTTCGTCTTCTTTTGGAACTGGGATAGGAAGTTCCCCCATTCAATGGCACCATTATGAGTGATTCGAATAAGCTGATGAAAGACTTGAGACCCAGCCGGTTGGAACTGCCATGTCAAGGTGAGTGGTACCTTAAGATCAGAGTAACCAGCACTCACTATGCAGGATAGGTCAAAGGTGTCGGCTAATTTCACTTGGGGTTGACGGCTCATCAGAATCACTTGTAAACTTGATTCTGCAGGCAGAAGTGCAAAACACAATTTCTAATACGTTTACCAAATCAGAGTACAGTACTTCTGAGTTTTCCTACTCGCCACCTCTTCACAGTGAACCATGCATTCATACATTTGGATTATCATTTATTTTGGGGTAGAAGCTAATTCACAGTACAGTCTGTCCTGAATTCTGACCTCAGTTTTCCAAAGCTGACCCTCTCCTAAGACCGCTCTCAGCAGAGACAACAAATAGGCAGTGTTTCTGCAGTCTGCTGCTTGGACAGCTGCTGCTGAGTGGGTGGAGCACTCCCCAGCCCTAGTAGTCTGGCCTCCTTTCCTCACCCCCACTCAGGCCCTCAGTGTCAGATTCTCTTGCATATGCTAGAAGAGATTCTGCATCCCAGGGCTGCAGCCGTCAAAAGCCAGAATGAGGAAGCCTTAGCAACCAAACCAACTGGCCATATCCCTCCTATAAATCGACTCCAATTTAAAGGATTTTGTTTTCAGCCTGAACAACAATGTACAAGTTGTATTCTAAAGGTGAGCTTTCTAAAGATGAATAAACTTTAGAGATTAATTGGCAGATACAGTAGCCAGAGACTGCTTTGTGTCCTGGGGCACACATACCACTGCGGGAATCAGGATGACACACAACCAAATCAGAGTTCCACTGCAAAATGAGGTGACTGGTATACAAGTTCAGAAAAGGATTTCTTTGACACTTACCCAAAGATTTTACAGTGACCGAAATCTTCTGAGTCCAGCTGAGATCTCTGACCTGGCTCCGGGTCCTCTCAGACACTCTGCACTCGTAAGTCCCTCTGTCAGTGATGGCAATGGAAGTGATGTCCAGCTGGAAGGTAGCCCAGTCCACCTTCTCCAGCCTTATGCTGCTGTGGTTACTGGGTCCCCCATAGGAGGGACCCAACCGCATGGTGCCATCCTGCCCCATGCCAGCCACGAACTCTGGCTGTGTCTGGTCCAGTGGGAAGTGCCACCAGCTCACTGACAGAGGACTTTCAGTTCCATCTGCCTTGCAGAGGAGGGTTAGTGCCTCTCCTTCCCACACCGCCTGTTGCTTGTTCTTGGTAGATACACTCACACTTCTTGCTGCAGGTTACAGATTTGAGGAGAAAAAACTGTTTCAAGTAAATGAAAATTTTTTCTAAAATACAGTGAAATCTCATTAATTAGGACTTGACTAGTTGGTGACAAATCAGATCAAGCCATTACCTATGCACCACCCTCAGAAAAAAGATTCATTCAACACTTAAATAGTGAAAACAAGATAGCAGAAAATAAGATCAGGAGAGTCAAATTATACTTAATTTGTAGTCTGCAGTTATTTTTATCTATTTGTTAAATCAACCCCTAAGAACATGTAGTTGGGAAAATATTTGGTAATATTTCATCAGATTAACTAGGGTGGGTGTATGAACCCGAAAATAACAAAGCTGTATTTATTTAAAATTTTAGTTCTTTAGAAGTGAAACTTTCACAATTCAAAATGAACTTCCTCCTCCTCCTTGCCTTTCCTTAATCAATTCTAATTAGTATGTATTTAGAATAGGGGAGGAACTTTGTTCAATAGCTCTCTGTTCATAACACTACTATGAAAAACAATTACTTGGGAGATATATATATATATATCACACACACATATATATATTTATATATGTTGTTGTTAGGTGTCATCGTGTCAGTTCCTACTCAGCGACCCTACAGGACAGAGTAGAACTGCTCCATAGGGTTTCCAAGGAGCAGCTGGTGGATTTAAACTGCCAGCCTTCTGGTTAGCAGATGAGCTCTTTGCCACTACACCACCAGGGCTCCAAAACCCATCGGCTAACCACAAACGCTTAACCACTGGGCCACCAAGGCCGCACTGTTTCGTATATACATTGACATAATTTACAAACACAGAATGGAGTTTAATGTCCACGAATAGGTTAAAAAATTTAGCAAAATCTGCTTCCAATTTTTAGATGGTAAAGGCATGATTATACTTTAAAAAATAAGTTAAAAACAGATTCACACAACTGAAGTTTAGACATTAGAGGAAAAATTATTACTCATTCTCACCATGTAAACATAACCATTATGTTTAGTCTCAACTAATATCTTTTTTTTCTTTTTTTTTAAGATGAGGTTTTTTTCAGTTCAATGTGGTCCTTACTGCCTCCTGGTAAGAAGTAATGATGGTAGTGAGTACCACCTTCGGATAAAATATTCATCGAATAATGGAATGATAAAACTCTGCTCATACTTCAAGTAATGCTTTGACTTTCAAAACAGAATTCTAATAAAGGATCCATAATAAATTTGCTAGCAACTTTTCCTGTTTTTACATATTAGACCTAGTTTGGACTCCAGCCTACACAAAGATCTATTTTGAGCTTTGGAAGTTGACCCTACTGATAGGTTTGTGACCTCTGCACCATGAGAAATGCCACTGGATCCCTTTGGCAAAAATTCCCACCTATTGTGATTAAGAAAATTGGCAGATATGTTACAGGGAAGATTGAGACACATGAAGCAGAGATGTAGCACTGTGTAAATATATAAACCCACGCACACAGTTTTTCCTGAATCGTAGAAAGTTGAACCAAATATTTAGTGTGAAATCTAACACCATCACACTTCTGGTAGCACTCTAGGCTAATACTTGTGTGTCTTCGTTCCTGGCAAATGGGGTGACGGAGACGAACATGAAAGGGAAACTGATCTTCAGAGATGCCTCCAGCAAGGAAGCATAACAAAGGATTCTTTTAGTTTAGTTTTTCTTTTTCTTTCTTTCTTTCTTTTTTTTGCTTTTGGGCAAAAAAATCCTGATAGACTTTGAATTTAACACCCAGCCCAGATAATCCTAATTATTAGTTGTGGGTTGGTTTGTTTTCTGCCTACACAAAAAGCACTATTATTCAAATGTATTTAAGGTCAACCAAACTTAATCAACTAAAGGAGAGCCGACGGGCTTTCCCACTTTCGTGCACACGGAAGCTCAGAACCATTTTGGACAGGCATCTCACCACCTCACGGCAAAATTCAGAGAACAGAAGTCTACCCATTATCATTTACCTCTTAATTTCTTACTCTGAGTCATACTTCGAGGCAGAATTATGAATAAATATCATTCCCCATATTAGGTTAAGATAATAAGGTTTTAACAAAAGGCAATTAAGAGATGCCAGCCCAGTCCCGAAGGAGTAATGTAGGTGTTTATTCCCCAGGAAGTGGGGCAAAGTAGCAAAATAGCTCTTTTTCTTAACCTACCCATATATACACAAAAAAGAAGATAGTTTCATTAATATAGTTGTTCTCTGCTTTAAGAGAAACCCAATGTATAAAAATTAGAACTAATAACAAATATATAAAATCAAAGAATTTAAGACAGCAGGAAGGGACTTAGGGACCATCTAATTGTGTGCCCACCATTTTGCAGATAAGGAAATTGAGATTTCAAGTGTGCCCATGGTCACGGCCAATTAATAGCTCAGGAATAGGACTCAAGCCTCCAGACTATGAGTTTGGGTGCTTTCCCTTTACTCCACTTCACCTCAGATATGATCTAATGGACACTCAACAATTCAGGAAGACCTTTACTCCACTTCACCTCAGATATGATCTAATGGACACTCAACAATTCAGGAAGACCTCCACTATGTCCAAGAAGGCATTCTGTACTGACAGAGGAGGGGATCTGAAAGCAGCCCAGTGCGTGTCTGGTCCCAGCTTCACATACCTGCAGGCTTCCTCAGGTGCACATGGCTGTCTGGTGACTGCTTCTTCTGTAGCACCTGCCAGGAGCCCATCCGAGCTCTCACCATCTCTGCTACCTCACATCTGTAGGTGCCTTCATCCTCTGGGCCCGCGGAGAAGATCTTCAGAGAGAAAGCCTTAGGGCTTAACTTTGAAACCTGCAGCTGTCCTTGACTTGCTCTTTCTTTGTAGCCTTTCTCCAGGCCCAGTACCCCATCGGCATTAACGCTGGCAATTTCAATATCATTGAGGAACCAAACGCCCTGATGCTGGAGGTCCTGGCTGCTGCCCACCACCAGGCAGACCAGTTCTAAAGGTTTCCCTTCAGCAAACGTGCTTTCAGCTGTCATGTTAACTTGAAAATTTCTCACTGGGAAACAAAAGCAAGGCAGACATTTAGAGGGGCCACTTCATCTGTCCTTTCAGTAACGGAGAGAAATGATACCTCCTGTAAAGATACCACAGGGGATCACATTTCATGTGTGAGTGGAATTCAGTTCTGATGTGGCAGGTAAGCCAAAACAAATGCAGAGTCAAAAATGACCCTGGTTATTCCTTAAATTACCCAGAAAGGACAGCATATGTTGCTTTCTGAATGCAACCCTAATAAGCAACATATATGTGTAAAGTATAGTAAAGTATATAGTGATGCATAGGTTTTAATTAAAAAATATATAAAATGCTTTGCACTATGTTAAATAGCTTAAACTGAGATTTCTTGCACTTTTTTGGCTGAGAATATTCAGTGGAATTTTCCTAAGTGAAAAGCACATGTCCTGACAGTATGAAGTCAAAGAGCATGCATAAGATAGCCATCAATGGGTACGAAGTATTTCTATCCAAATAGTTGGATAATAATGATGCCTCTACTATAGATCAATAGCTTTGAATTTTTCTTAGGGTAACAGTGTAATGTTATGTAAAGTAAATGATTCTTGACCCCTCTCTGGGGAACCAAGGTATGTACATTTTCATAATGTTATGCTAGTCAAACAGCCAAAGTCTGTTGGGCTGCTGATACGACAAATCAACTAGTTAAGAAGTGAAAGAAATCACTAAAAATATGGGTTTTTTTCCTGTAAATAAGTAGATTGTTTTTATTGTTTGAGTGATCGATTTTTGTCTCATTGTGAGTTAATTTGCTGTCTTCATCAAAATCTTGGAATTACAGATGATATAGACGTAGTCTCTGACTTATGACGAGGTTCTGTTCTGATGACTCCATTGTAAACCAGTTCTGACATAAGTCGAATATCTCTTTTTTTTTTTTTTTTTAGTTTTAGTAAATTATTAACAGTGAACATCTTCGAGTGAACATCTAAGAATGATAACATCAGCAAATTATGTGCTCAACATTGTATGTAGTACATACTACTAACGATAAGATGTACAAGAAAGAAAAAAAGGATGGTTGTAAGCGTGGCTTGTTGTAACTCAAACACATTGTAAGGGAATACCTGAACACCAAAATATGAATTAATAAAGCATAACTTAAGAAAATGTTTAAAAAGCACATTAACATGCCTAAATAGGATGCATTGAATATAACTTGGCCACTGGAGGCCAAAAGGACAATTTTTTTTAACAGAACAGAGTACTCTTAAAGAAAACTTCCATGATCCACCACATGTATGCATTTAGCAATCCCTTCCTACTGGACCAAAGCATATAGAGTGTCACACTAGGAATTACAGCCAAGGCCTTTCTGTTCGCATTGATGAAAATGCTAATGAATTGTGAAGAGCGGTACCATACCAAGGTGGACAAGGTGTCAAGTGGGAGGAAATACTAGCATGGACAAAGACAAGACTTCATGCAAGAAACTTGAGCTCTTTTGAGGCCCAAGTGTCTCTGTGATGAGTTGGCTTTGGAGAGAGAAGGCCTGGGCTTTGAATGTCTGCTCCTCCTCTCACCAGCTGGGTGAGCTTACGCAGAGCACCTAGTATATCTGAGGCTCAGGTTCTTATTTCAAGTAGTAGGAGAGTTGACTAATTGCTTCCCAAGGTGGCTATTAGACAATATGGATAAAGCACTTATACAAAACCTGGCCAGAATGGTAACAAAACTCATATCCGTGACTGCCTTGTGAGATCAATCTAACCATTTAGTAGATCTTATCTCATATAACCACCACCCATCTGTCAGTTTGTCATACTGTGGTAGCTTGCATGTTGCTATGATGCTGGAAGTTATGCCACCGATATTTCAAATACCAGCAGGGTTACCCATGGTGGACAGGTTTCAGCAGAGCTTCCAGACTAAGACAGACTAGAAGGAAAGGCCTGGTGATCTACTTCTGAAAATCAGTCAGGGAAAACCCTATGGAGCACAACAAAATATTGTTGATAGAGTGCTGGAGGATGAACCCTCTGGGTTGGAAGTCACTCAAAATACACAGTGGCCACAACAATGGATTCGAGCATACCAACAATCATGAAGGTGTGCAGAACCAGGCAATGCTTCATTCCATTGCGCGTGGAGCCGCCATGAGTCAGATCCAACTCGAGGGCAACTAACAACAACATTCCATATAAAACCTCTCATAGACGGAGCCCAAATTGAAGGTCTTTCTTCTCAGTTATACTTTCAACATGGTGAAAACAAAATTTACTCAAACTTTCTACGTAAGTTTTTTAGAGATTAGAAAAAACTAAATGATATCCCATAAATACCCAGTTATCAGTGTATTAATGAGTTTCCTGAGAAGACAATTACCTTCAGGCTGGACCCTCAGTGTTGTTTGATCTGTCTGCTTTTTAGTGATGAAAGCCCAGGTTTTATCTGGATCCTGAATCCATTCCATTGCCTCACAGAACAGCTGGCCTTGATCTGAGGGCTGGAGTCTCCCTATGGACAGTCTGAAGGAAGTAACCCCAAGCTTGTCGAGCCGCACATCACTTGCTGCAAATCTCTCTGTGTACGAAGGCCCAGGGATCAACATGAAATCTCTGGAGAGGGAAATAATCTTCGTGGCTTGGCTTCTTCCTCCCTCCTGCATCACGTACCAGGTAACAGAGAGGTGGGTATGTTGAGCTGTGGCTTTGAATACCTCACACATCAGTTCTAATGGCTCACCTTCCTCCTTATTCAGAGTCTGGGAACTCATGGTGGCAGAGAGAGTATCTGGAATAACTGGAAACAAAGGGATGATGATCATCTGACCTGCACAGTATTTATCAGACTAGCCTCTTTAGTTGAAGATGGTGCCTTGACCCACCATCTGTAAAGCGTATACTTTGAGTTGGTTTTCCATTAGCCATATGTTTTCCCTATCCAGTAGAAACACTGGCATCTATGTACAGTCTATGGAACTTGGCAAAGCTAATGGCTCACTGATGTATTGACCCTGACTTTGCTTCATTAGCATATACTGTAACCAATTTAGTTAATCAGACATAGAGTATTTAAAACTGAAAAGTACTAGGAGCTAGAAGACCTAGATTCTGATCCTAAATCTGTCCCTGTTGGACTATATGAACTTGGGAAAGTCACTTAAAATTCCTGGGCCTTACCCTGCTCCTTTATAAAATAAAGTTCTGAAATAATCTGCTATGATCTATTATTCATAGCCAAAACGCAATCTTTACCAAAGGTTTGGAAACCATTCTACTTCCCTACCATTCTTTCCTTCTTCCTCCAGTGAAATTGCAAAGCCTGTTCTTATGTTAAAGCAATGCTTCAATGGACTTTTATAGAAGACCTACTCAGTGTTAGCCACCATGCTAGGAACAGAGAAAAGCTTTCTTTTCTCAAGGAGCTCAGGGTCCTCAGGAGAGAGGTATAAACAGTTACCACATAACTGGGTGAGTGCCAATAATAGCAATATTAATGGGGCATCAAAAGGAAACAAAGGTGGGAATACCACACAAGGCAGTCAGGACAGGTTCCACAGAAGAGGTAATATCTGAGCTGGATCCTGAAGTACATGTAGGAGTTTGCTAAGCTGAACAAGGACTGATAGCTATTCCAAATAAAGGGATAGAATGACATTTGCAAGGACCATGGTTCTTTCCTCATAGGTAAATATGCTACAGCAAGGTTGTGTGAGAATAATCAGTTCCAAGTTAATGACCTGTCACCTGTGATATCAATACCAGGTCTCTTATCAAGTCAATGTTCAGTCCCCAAGAAGACGCATAACGTGGGGAGAACTCTCAAAGCTTTGTCTAATGCTGTTAAACTATGCATGTCTGGGGACAAGGTGTTAGAAGACTACACTCTATCTAAAATTTCATGGTAAAGATGATTGGTGAAAATGACATGACAGTTTTAGATAATATGAGCTATCTGTTTATGACAAATCTCTAAAATATCCACAGGGATATATGGGCTCTTTTGCTAAAGCAAATGGAACAATATAAAGTCATGTCACATTGCAAGGCATTGTAATGGTGGCGGCTCTGGCTTCTCAGGAGCTGGTTAGCAGAAAAGGGCAAATGGCTTACCAGTCAGATAAGTCTTCGCACTGTAACTTCCAAAGTATTTTCCATCAGTGTTTGGTGTGTGACACTCGTACTCGCCGGCATCCTCCATCTGGAGCTTGGAAATGTGTAACAAGACTGAGTTGCCCTGGAGCCTCTCCACATAGATTTCCCGGCTTCGCACTCGCTGTGTATACAGTGCGTAGGAGAAGCTGCTATCCTTGGTGCTAACAATCTGGATTTCCCGTTCTGGGGCTGTCGGCAGGTAAATAGACCACTGGAAGTGCTGCTCAGAAGGACCCTGGTGACCAGTCACATTGCAGCCAATGCTGACAGGGTAACCTTCAGCTCTAAACAGTGGTCCTTTCTGAACTGTTACTTCTCTCTGGCCAATGCTGAGCTTAGCTTGTATGTAGGAGAAAGAAAGGGGAATAAAAATAGATTAG